ATATCAATGCAAATTCAAAGTAAAAAGATAAACGTGGTTCAGTTGCATGTGTGAATTTAAAGGGAAACTATTTTGTAGGAATTTTGTTTCGTAGGAATGGTTTAGGCATTGACCCTGTGAAAAAAGACAAAAGTTTGGCCAGCTTTGAGTGGCTGACTTTTGTTTCTGAAGCATTTTTGTTCCACTTATATGCTGTGTGCTGAAAATGTGCTTGACATTGAGAAAATTATGTTGTATAGCATAGTCTTACAATAATCAGCATTTAATTAAAAGTCAAACAATGCAATTCATGCAAATAAAGTTATAGGTGACCTGAAGAATGAAATTATTCTAAGAACAGGTTACTTGTCTTGTTCTGTCTAATGGATTACTCTGATGCAACAAACTGCTTGTAATGTTTTTACTAGAATGAAATGATGTTTAGTCTCTCAAGATAGCATTAATAATGGCAAATTAATTTACGCATCTTCTAAACCAGTAGGCAGAGACATGCAGCCAGTACAGTCATGAAAACGTCTGACTTACTTGTCCCCAGTGCAATAAATTTAGATGAAGTACCCTCTATGCAATTTGAAAATAGATATCTGATCCAAAAGAAAGTGATGCGCTATGAAACAATTTGCAGGGCTGTGTCAGGCCATATTGAGTAATGCTGCTTGTGCTATAAATTAATGCGATATGAAATCCGTCTAACTCAAAAGCATTCTGTTTTTGACCTACACTATGAGATACAAGATTATATAACTGACAAGACTGGTAATAAGTGTTGTAATTGTCCACATTTATTTTGGACTGAAATTCCAATCAGTGGTAAGGTTAGAATCATGTATCCAGTGAGAAGGATTTTTTTTACATACAGAAATAAATCATTAGAAATAAGTCATTATAAAAAAGTGGCAATGGATGAACTCTAGAGAGTTTAGAGGCTGATCCTGGTAAAACATGTAAAGTTTAAGCTACATACGTGAATCTGCTAGCTATGCCAAACGGAGCAGAAATACAGTAGGCACAAGCTCTTGTGACAATTCCTGTAAATTCTGCTTTCAACACAGCTCAAAAATTCTGCAAGAGGGACCACTCTCATCCTTCCTTCCATTTTAAAAATGTTAATCAAACTTCTTCAGATTCCGTAAAAGAAAGATTTGGGGTTTCAGCTGTGCAGAGCTTCTCCTGGCACAATAATGGCTAAGTGGAAAGTTATCAGAGGAAACTGCAGCTGTTCCTTATCTCTCTATAACACTCTGAGCCCTGACTTTATTTAGATTAGACTGAAGGACACTAGCATGTATCAGCTAGCTATAGTCCCTAGAGGACTGTATATCAAATAAGCACAGCCAAAGTACACTGTCATGCCCCTCTTCACACCTCCTGCATCAAGGATGAGTACAGAAAACAGCACAACACCTGAGAGGTCACCTTTCCAGCACTTTCATGAATTCTAGGCATGATCCACACATTGATTAAAGTCCTGCTGCATTACTTGAGCGCTCTTCCTTCCTAAATTAAATTTACATTGCATGAAATGATCAGAGCCAGCATGTAGCCCAATAAGGTTCAACACATGCAAGCATATGGAAAGCAGGTATGTCTACCAGAACAAGCGGTATAATGGAAAATCTCATTTTTCATATGTATGTATAAAAAAAGAACTCAAAAGTCTGATTTTGCATGCATTAAACAGATCCTTGTATTGAATGGTACCTTAGTCACAAAATACTCTTATTGATTCTATAGCTCTTTCAAGAGAGTAAGGCACCACCATTTACCATTTTGAGTACAGCAATCTGATCGAAGGTGGTAGAATTAGACTCCAATTTTCCAGCACTTTGCTTTGCAAATCTAGACAAGTGTGGATAGTGCTGCAGTGATAAAGTACAGACTAACTTTCAATGAAACAACATGACAAGCAGCTTCGCATTCAGAAATTGAAAGGACTCTCTGACCACAGTACCATTAATTAAGTCACACTGGAAGCAAACAGCTGGGACTCTCTCACTACTCCATTTCAACAGTAAGTTTATCAATGATTCAATAGAGGAGAATGGGTATCAGTTATGCTGGGACAGGAAGACAAAATAGTTTTGGTTACCCAAAAATACTATACTTGGTTCCAGAAGCTCCTGGATTCCACCACGGGCTGAACAAATGATACAGATTTTTGATGTTAAATGTGCAAACTGTTACATGCCTTGATATAAGTATGTACTCTTCACTCCATTCCATTTAAATATTTATGATCCAGCTCTGGGCACAGTGGCATGCTGTCTCTCTGGGTTCTTGCACTGAATTGCATGTCCTCAAATTGCAGACTCTAGTGAAAGGCATTACAGCTTTAATAGCAGCACAAGCAATTATATAAATATAATTCAAAATTATTGATATATTACTGCTGTCCATATTACTACATAAGCATATTTTAATAAGGATGGATTATTAAAAAACACACAATATGGAAAATATGTAATATATATAATTTCAGATTATACAAATGGCTGTAGAGAGTCACTCCAAAGGCCTTGCTAACTCAAGAACCTGTATTCAAGAATAGCAAAGTCAAAAGGAATATGAGAATACAAAAATCAAGAGAAATACATTTGATACTTCCTTGAGTACTCTCACAATTTATAAACATTTCAGGGACAGATTACATAAATCAAAGTTTTCTATGGATGTTGTAACTGCCAACTGGATTTCTCTTCTATGAACTTTTCTAGTCTCCTCTTGAAACAGTGTAAAGTGTTAGCATCCACAAATGTCTTGTGGCAACATATCCACAGCTTAATCAAACATTGCTTTTATTAAATTATCTGAACATTGGACAGTTACCTGGAATCGATGGGGTTCTAATCCACCAATGCAAATCAGCAAGGCATTTCAGACCTGAAGCATGAGAACAGTCCTATTAAAGTATATTCCTGTTCTTACTGTTAACTTTATGCATAGCTATGTTGCTAGTTTACAACTGAAATTTGTTCATTTAAATGGATACTGCCAGAACAAGTTGTGTCTCTGGACTCACATCCTCCAAAATAGATACTTAAAAAAAAAACCAAAAACAAAAAACACACACTTAATTTTTAAGAAATCTTCAAGTCAAATGTAAAGGTTGACTTTTAATATTTCATTTATTTCATTTATCGTATGATTTTTGACACTGCCAGTGGATTTTTTTTTTATTTTAGGTAAACAGACATTTGCAGTGTTTGTAGCTGAAATATTGCAACACTGTAGCGTATTAGAAGCCCAAAATGAAATCAACTAGAGCTTACCGTAAGTAGCAGTGACTGCCTTCGTCCCTACTGAACGATGGACAAAAAAAGCCAATAGCACAAACAAGGAATAGGGGTTTGATCAAGTCCTGAACAAGGTCTGTTATATATTAGACCCATTTTCAATTTTAAAAATGTCCTTTAGGCTGTCATATCAAAATGAAAAAGCTTTAATAAAAGATTATAGACTTTAACTATAAGATTAACTATAATAACGTGCAAGGTGTACATGTATAATAACGTACATGGTTTTAATGTGGAGCTTCTAGCATAAACTTTGATAGTTTTACATTAGAAATTATTTTAAGACAGTAGGACATGCACGGTGAAAATAAGTTCATGGCCTGTGATATCATTATCGTATACATCCCGCGTTAAAGGGGTCGGAATGTTCCCGGGCTGACTGAAAAGCAAGCACAACCCATGCAAGCTGTAGCCAGTCAACACCATTTAGAACAGAAATATTACTTATAGCACATCTTGGAAAGGGACACCGCTAACTGCATAGCACACGAACGGGTCTCGTGGTCCGATGGTTTGGAATATCTACAACACGTTCACAAGGGAATTTTCCTTTCTTTCTCTCTTTTCTTTTTCCTGGGGAAGCAGCAAGAGAAGAGGTGTGGAGTTGGTTGGGTGATCAAAAATCAATGCAGTGCTTTACATTCAGTAACAGATGTATAATTACAGCCAAGTCAATTACTACAGCTCTGTGTTAGGCTGCAGCACATTCAGGTCTAGCTTACAGTAGGCTGTCATCAAGTATATCTTTAAAGTGTTTTTCAGTTTCATGGCGCTAATGTTGGATCAAGATGTTTACAAGCGCTGCGTAAATTCATATTCATATCACCCGAATCCGGGGTTTCGATTGGTGTCACGTACAATTTAGCTAAAGTAAACGTGAACTGTTTCGCCTGGAGATGGCTGTATAATGCCTGTTCCTTCCACCCCTGGCGACAACACGTGCCTCGTTCTGCTGACGAGGAGCTTAACGCTGGCTGCTTCCTCTGGGGACAAGGGACGAAATAACCTGCCCGCCAAACCCCTCCCTCAGCAGCAGCGACACGCTCGGGCAGGGCATCTGCTCCCTCAGCGGTCAGCGGAGGAGGCCGCTCTCCGCGGAGCCGCCCCTGGCCGCCCTGTCA